AATTAATTGATGCATGCCTAATGCCCCCAAATTGGGGGACGGAAGTTGAAGAAAGAAGCATTCTGGATCCAGAAACCGAACCAAGAATCTCAAATGGGCGACGGAAATGGACTACTTTACTTTTTCTTTCAATTTGCGTGTTTTATGATCGCATGTTAGGTTACTGCATGTATAGTTCCCGCAAATTGGGGGACTGTAGTAAGTCGAGAACTACTGCCAAAACGCTCAAATGGGAGACAGAAGTAGGCTTTTCCTTTTAATTTCTGCTTCTGATGATTGCTTGTTAGATTAGTGCATGTCTAGTGCCCTCAAATTGGGGGACGAAAGTTGACCGAAGAAGACTAAAAAAACCACAGGACGCGAAGAGCCTTGTTTAAGTTGAAGCAACGAATTTTAACAAATTAAAAGAATAATAGCCGGGCAGACATGTGTAGCTTTATGGTTTTTTCTCTATTTTATATGGTTTCCTGAGACTGGTACAATTTAAATATGTTTGTATCCGCTTTAGTATTAATTTTAGAAGCATACCCAATATTTAAGCCTTTTTTGCCTCTGCTAAATGAACATCTTTTCAGGTCATCGTGAGGCGACGATCTTCAAACATGCAAGTTGAACAAAACCTTGTTATTCTAAATCCCGTGAGTAACTTTTACTAAGAGATGGAGCGTTGGGAAAGCTTGTTTGTGATGCCTACGACACTGATGTTAAACGGAAATTCTATACGTGATGGAAGTTTCTTGTTGATGACTGATACGTGAATAATTCGTGAATAATTATATGGAAGGGTGAGAAGACTCAGTGGCGTAGGAATTCATTCATATATTTGTGAATTACCCTAAATTTATGTAGGTTCTTTTGCCGTTTTGAGCATTTTTGTGGAACCAACGTGTGTTGAAACAATACGTAAATAAGCTCGGCATCCGCGGGACAACTCTGTACAACGTAAGTTTACGATTATCCCTGCCGTTTTTTCATCGTATTTCCGGTTGCATTTAAGGTTTGCCGGTCATTCAGGTATTTATGACCATCGTATTCCAGGTTGAGGTAACCATTCTGTCTTTTCTGACTATTGTCTTTCATGTTTGTTGACCATTCTGTTTCTTCTCGCCGTATCGGGCATAGCTAACCCAGGCTAATAGATTCTTCATTCGATTTTTAGTTTTCTATGAAGTCTATTTTGTTATATTCCCGACCAAAAGGATATAAAGCCAGTTAAAAATTTAGACAAGACAAGCACATTAATAAATTTGCACTATCTAGACCAGTCATTCTCAAACTAGAGTTTGAGAGACGCATGCGCCATTCAACAACCTTTCTTGCGTCTCTTGTTAATGCTTCAAAAATTAATTATTTTCAAAGAAAATTTTTCATTATAAACTAATCATTGACTTGAAATTAAAATGCGTTAGTCGAAAATCAGTTAGTCGAAAGGATTCGCCCGTGTTTATTTGCGTAGCGTTGACTAATCTACAAGATGAAATAGTGACGCAAAAGTTTTCGTTTTCGCGGCCACTCGGATACTTTTCAATTAGAAAGATTTTAGACATGGCTGTAATCATTGGCTTGCTTTCGTGGATTATGAGTTTTTGTCGCATTTCCGAATATTATGTATAAATCAAAAAACTCAATGATTATTTTAATTTTGTTCCAATAATCGAAAATAGTCCCGAAATATCTAGCGATCATCTCAAGCAGCTACTGTACCAGGCATCCTCCGCTTTGACGCTTTTGGAATCAAAGCCAAATTAAATGGCTGTGAGTCTAGGGTGGGCAAAATCGAATCTTTTTTCGAATCAAATAATTTGAATATTTTTACCGAATATTCGAATAATGAATATTTTTTTTCATACATAACTGTAATCCAGAACGTCGGAGATCGATACTACATTTGGAAATTGATAGAAACATTGAAAAGTCGGCAATAAAGCGTTTTTTTTACTGGTTGATGGTTAATTTTATCATAATCGCTGATTGTCTTTGTCACCGCGATCGTTTCGGTGGCGATATCCTAAAGTTGGTATTCTAAATCCCCGCCCTTTCTCGTTTTTCGCAAGAATGAGGGGTCGCCGGCGGCACTCGCCGGATATTGAAGTTTCGAATTTCTAGTATATCCTTGCGTTCAAATCAGCGATAGCTGTTGAATACATTGAGGGATGATTTCAAAACCAAATCAATTTTATTCTAAGTTTTATCCTCTGCCTTGGATTTGATCTTCCATATCACCGCTTGTAAATTAAACGTGCCTGTTTGAAGTGAACCGTAACCGAGATGCAGATATTTATTAAAATGATAATTGAGTTTCTCATGCTTTTCTATGGTGTTCGTGTTATTTTAGTATTAGATAGATAAACCTAGCAAGTTTACGATTGCGTGAACGATCGCCTCAGGGCTTAATTATTACTGCCCAAATGCTTTAAATTTTAACAATTGTAATCATTTTCGGTGATAATAGACGCAACAATTCGTGAACGAGTCAGTGTGCATTGTTACAACGAAATTCACGATTGATTTTACGTTCTACTCTTGGCTCAACGGCCATGCATGGTCGAGTAAAATGTTTACATATTTGAAACATTACTTGGCCAAGGATGGGGGGGATTACTAAAGAGCTAACACAAAGTGCTTTAAAGGGAGTCGGGCATGACATTTCTTATCTGGCTACAACAGTGTTCTTCGTACAAGTAACTCATACCAGCTTTTGGAAAAACTTTCGGTTATTTTTGAATCCATGCTATTTATATAACTTAGAGTTTTCTAACGACCTAAAATCGCCTTTTTCACAATGAAACGCCGAAAAGTCATTTAACATTTTTTTGCAAAATATGGAATTGAAACGATACGTTAAGCGCAAACATAAGCATATGACACCATAACGCAAAGACAACGACTTTTCAAATTTGACGTTTTTTTCTGATAGCGAGCGCCGTTGGGAGACGCGCGAGTTCGGGGCCAAGCAGAGCGGCGCAGGTCACGTGGTACCGGATATTCGAATGGTAAAATGCCATTCGAATATTTTGCCTATCCCCAGTTGTTACGTGTGTTGTTGTTACAATGACTTGGTATTTTAAATACACTCTTTATGGTTTGTTGCTATTTTACCTTGCGTTGTTTGTGTTCGTCTCTTCATAACTTTGAGGTTTGAAATGCTGCTCTGGGACTAAAAAAGTTTGAGAACCCTAGATCTAGACCAGTGGTTCCCAAACTGGGGGTAATTTGACATTTTTAGGCGATAATTAAGACGTTAACTATCGTTAAACATCATAGAAACAGTACCACCCTTTTTACCCCGATTAAACCCGGACATTGTACTTAGTAAAAAAATTTATTCTTCTGTTAGATTGTTATGTTCTTGTTGTTGTTATGAAATTTGATAGATTGTGCCCTGATAATTTAATTTTAATGAAAGGGGTAATTGAGTTTATTGTAATTCAGTTTCAGGGTAACAATTTTAAAAAGTTTTGGGTGCTCCCGAAGTATGCGAACCAAGATGGCGGACATCGGAACGTAACATGGGTAACAGGTTAGGGTTAGGCGATAATTTTTTTCCAATTTTCCTTATTTTAGTCCTATTATCAGTTCGAAGACTAGCCATGAGCCTCCCGTAGTATTTATACCTAAAATTATGGCCTAACCCTAACCTAGTACACATGTTACATTCCGATGTCCGCCATCTTGGTTCGCATACTTCGGGAGCCCCAAGTTTGGGAACCACTAAACTAGACAGTCGAGAGCCAACTGACATGCTGTTTCACATCCGGTTAACAAAGATTAGATAATTTTGATATTAGTGGCATACTACATTTGATTGGTTATTAATGCGTAATTGTCGGATACTGTATATCAAAAACAAACACGAACCGTTTTATTTCAATTATTTTCATTCATTCTTGTATCTGTGCGCTACAACTACGTCGCATCAGTGGGAAATCGAATAGACGGATCTGTAAATGGCAAGATGACAGAAAATAGCACTTCTCCTATAATTTACACATCCGTTAATAACAGTCGCTATTAACACTTCCAGCATCAGATTTCGAGGGTAAGAACCACCGACAGGAAATATGTCTCATTCTCCTATTTAATGACAGTTGTCGTGATGTCCTCTATTAGAAGCAGAGATACCTACAGTGCAAAGCTTTTATTGTCTTTACTCGCCATGACATTCTCTAACTTAACTACTATGAATTAATCTTTAGATATTTGTCTCTGAGATTGACCCATAATGTGAATGATAGAATAATTTTTCATGTAAAAAAAAACTTGGCCAGCATATGCATTGTAATGTAATATAGTTAACTATACACAGTATCTGTAATATGTGAGTCTGCTCTAAGTTACTAAGATCTTGGTCTCTGATGCCTTTAATAACATTAATATAATGTTAATCATATTTTGTTTTAAATTGTTCCTATTCATGTACATTTTGCAAGTTGCATTTCTGCCTAATTAACATTAGATTTTCAACAATCTACCTTTGTTTATTCTATGTTCTATATAAAAAGTGGCCGGTTTTACACGACATCTAATCCTACCTGGATTTTGTTGAATACCTTTTATGCATTGTGCATGTCCTTTCTGATTTTACAATTCCAGTGTGTTGATCTTTGACTCCAAAACCCAAGCACTTGAATTCAGTAACTAATTCATGTCCAATTCTCCCCCTACCATAAAAAAGTATTTAATACTATCATCGTTGTGTGTATATTTTACAACTGGTAGGCTATGAAACACAGTCTGACTGTTACCCTGCGCAATACACAATCGAACGTACAATGTTCTATATCAGACCTCAGTTGCCTCACAATGATATCATTGTGACTTTGCCACACACAGCTGTCCTCATGGTTACATGGATTGTTGGTGCACGCAGTCGTTTTTGTTGAAACGCCCGACTGCTGAGCATACCTTGACGTATTTATTTTATTTTTTCTCAAATAACATATATAGTTGGACTATTCATTATTATTTTCTTTCTTATGAGTGCCGCTGCTCAATAACCAAATTTAGTTTCGCGCGACTCCACTCACCCTGAAATGCTTCTTCATCATTTATTGTAATTTATATATCAAGTGTGCTATTAGAATGGTAAGAAAATAAATCACTGATTACTGATAGAATAAACGTTTTCCGCTTTTTTTTTTAAATATGTACTTGTACGTAGTGGCAAGTATCGGCTATTTGGCCTCGTAGTGAAAGAGAGGGATAGATTTATTATTTCGTCAACCAGAAAACAAGAAATGGTACAGTAAATATATACAATACAAAGTGCAATCAGTATGCACTCCTTACTACATTGCTTATATATGATAGTCATTTATACCAAGTTTGGTCATCATCGATTTCCGTCTTTCATCTCAGTTGAAGGTCGCGATCGACCAATCGATATTAATCTGTTATAAACAGTTTTTTTAACGGATGAGTTGGGTGATATTAGTTTATTCACCTACGCTTGATGTATTCAAGCTAAATGAACGAAAACGGATAAGATCATTAGGTTCACTCCTTCTCCAATCAAATAAAAAATTAAAATACGAGTTAGAATAAATGGAGAAGCGCTCTTTTTCATTGTAACACGGAATGGCAAAATTGAATAGGTTGGGAATACGCTTGCCGCCACAGCTCTGATTACTCTGCGTGGGTTCGCAGTTTCGAATCCCATGCGGGGATAGTTATGTGCGAGAGAATTGCTGAACCCGCGGATATACCGGTGCAAATGTATAGGTTCAAATGTACGTGAGTTCATATGTAAAGCCACCTCTCCAGTCCAGTTTGGCCATCATGATATTAAAGTGGATGATACAGAGATGATTTCTGTGTATTGCTTTAACTAGAATTTTGGTTCAAACTGTGCAGATTACTTGGACTATATTTTGTCTTACACAGTTTTTTTTAGCAATATATATGAAATTTTGTATTTTAGTTGGCTCGAATTTTGTTACGTGTTTATTGAAAACAAATTGTTGCCTTCTGTTTGATACATGACTTTACTTTCATAGGCGAAAAACTTACGTAACAACCAGATCCCACACAATAATCTAACACTAGACAATATTTTAGCAGTTAATAAAAAAAATTATTTAAAAATAGGATTGTTGTTAACTTTTGCTAAGTCTGGTTTAGTACCACCAAAGCCAATCTTCACAAAATTGAAAAATTATTGAATACGACAGCACAAAAGTTTTATTGTCATCAAGTGTCTTTAGAATGTGGTTGGTTATCTCCTTCATGTCATTTGATGTAAAAATTTGTAGGAATGTCCAGCGAACAACCTTGGCAACGGGTGTGAGTATTGAAAAAGACATGACAAAGACTTCCACGAGAGTTTTTATTACATTCAAACCTTAAAATGTGAACTGCAAGTCAGATCTTACATTATTGACAAATTTCATTTCATTGAACTTCGGAAAATTCAGTAATTAAATTCTTCTTTACTCGTGAACCTTCAAATACAATTTTTGTACCAAATTTTTTATAACAGTCGGTAAAGAAAAAAATAATAACTGCTAATTCCATTTAGTTAGTGAAAGCTTATTCGCTTATTACCCTTTATCAACTGAAAATATTTCTCAATAAAGCAAAATAGGTCTTCAACTAAATGCGGTGTTATGTATCAAGCATATTGAATGTGACAATCTATTGTAAATAGGCCAGTAAAAGGCTCAGAATGCGACAGAACATAGACTGATAAAAATAAGCATGCCACCATGAAAATAGTATATTTATACCCTTTAATAAGACGTTCTAATAGATTTTAGTTTTATTGACTAACCCTCCCATCAGGGGCACAGCCAATATTTTCAATAGGGGGGGAGGGGTCGAATATCTGCATCATAGTTAGTGTCGGATTGAAAGTTGATTCATGTGAGAATTGTTACTTTTTCGTGCTACTTTTTTGCTACGGGAAAGTCAGACATTTTTTGGCGATACACCACTGTTCACTTTGGTCTTCGTATCAATATATTGGAAAATCGCTCTATTGTTTGCCATTTATTTAATATTGTAGATTAACATATTGCGGTGTTAGTTAATTATTAGTTAAACATAGGTTGATATAAGTCTGATGCATTTTAGATGCACGTTGCCGGAAACGCTTTGAATCTTTTTAAATCCCAATGCAATCGACAATTGCCTGATTGGTTATCTGATCGTAGAATTGAACTGGACATCCGGGACACAGAACTCTACAATGAGCTTCAGGATACTTTGGACAAGAAGCACCGAGGCATCCTCTGGGGCAAAGACCAATTGAGTTTATTCCAGGCTGACAAGTTGCTGAAAAAAAAGACTCCATGTAAAATGCGATTAAACACGATACGCTTTCTAAAGTTGATCATTTAATTTATATGTGCAATTTAGAGGACTTTGGAACGCATTCTTGCAGTCATATTCAAAACAATTTTAGTATATTTTTTTTATTTTGCCCAAACAATCCTATTTATTCATAAGACAACTATTTACATGTAGCACCATAAGGCATAAATCGTCGAAAAAGGTAAAGTTTGGGTGTATAACATAAATTTTATGCAGTAGGGCAGGTGTCCTCAAATTTTTGGCCTTGTGGGGCTTACGAGAAGGTTGACTATTATTTACAGAGCAATTGATTTATAAAAGTAATAAAAAAACATATTGTTACTTACTGATTAATGCTCCCGTTTAAATCAAAATTACTTTATTTAATGGCTCTGATGTAGTGGCTGTTCGTCAAGTTTTATCATTGCCGTTATTGCTTTTTTAGACAGTTTCAAAATCAGTATTTTAAGTAAACGAATAGGTTTCATTCACGGAGCCCTAGGGCTGCGTATGGTGCACTTACAGAACCAAATGGCAGTGATATCCTACCTTTTTTATATTGCGCTACCATATTGAGCACTTTAAATAATCACGGCAAACCTATCACAAAACATCATAAACATTTCTACTCATTAAGCCAGTTCGCTATAAAATAATTATAAACAAATAGGATCAGATAAGGGGAATTTTATTCATGAAAATACAACATACCCTGTATTTAGTAGCATGTATAGAATAATAATGGTGAATGTCAGTAGGACTCTTATGCCTGATGCTTTCACACTACAGCTGCAATTTGTGAAAGAATTTGAGGGAGACTTACTTTCAACTCTCAGAAACTCTTAAACGCAGGCAAAGGGGAGGGAGTGCGGCCCAAGTAATTTAGTCTATATTTATATATATTATTGTAAAAAATGCGCGTTCGCACGGGTGATGCGTTGTCCTCTGACGCACCACCGATCACGCGCTTCGGTTTTGCTTGCCCTTCCCCGATCCACGTTACGCCCCTATTGTTACCACATCTGTTCTAACAACCTAATTTTTTTTTGTTACAATTTGGTATGTTTCTCCCATTGCCAAAGTCATTCAATAGTGTTATTGTCGGCACGCGAGAGTAATGAAAAATGAAAACAAACTGTATTTCATTACAACAATTAAGTATTATCGCTAAAAACACTAAATTGGTTTGAAGTTGTTATGACCGGTAGATGTATATTTTTACGTCATGGACCGAGCATATATTGATGGCAATGATCATAGCATATACTATAGGCCAAAACGCTTATTCGACTTTTCCGACCACAGAAACTATTCAATCCGTTTTGGGTTCGAGATATGAAATAATCGTCAATTCCACCACGCTATCGTGAAGTAGTGCAGTTTACTAATGAAGATTGGCGAATTCGGTTATTGTTTCAATTCTAAGTTTTGCATGGCGCATCGTTTTGTAAAATTAGGAACATCAGACTACGCAACAAATTATTGTGCGGAAGTTATATTTGATTAGTAGAATTGCCAATACTGTCGATTTATTGAATCTTTATTTAAACTCAAAATAACATTCATGATTCACGCAATGACTTTACCGGGTATAAAAAATAAAACAGAAACAATAGAAAAGTTGAATCATAAGAAAGCCAACTATAAGGTCTTTATAAATATCCGTATTCCGGCGTCAGAAATGGTATTATTGTTAGCTTAAAATTGGGACAGTTAATTTACAAACGGCGGGGAGAAAGGTTAAAGCCGGTGCAAAAGTTAAAAATCGGAATAAAATCCCGAATTTGAACGGGCGGAAATGGCTTACCAACCTTAGAATGTCTAGCCTAGCTTTATGGAGGCCTGTATATACTAAAAATACCCGATATTGGACAATTCGGTAAAAAATATTCGAATTATTCGATTCGATAAAAATATTTTATTTTGCCCATCCTTGCAAACTGTGATCACTCCAGTAATCTGGCAAAACGCATGGTAGTTCAAACACTGAAGCAATGAAACTTAATTAAACCTTTCGCTTAATTAAAACTTCACTACTTCACGAAAGCGTGATAGAATTGCCGATTAATGCCGAACAACTTAAAACATATTTAGTGATTTTAGCGATAATTATTAATTGTTGTAATGAAATAATCTTCCCTTTTCTCTCGCAAGTGCCGACAATAACACTAATTATTGATTTTGACAATGGGAGAAACAGTTCCATTACATTTGAACCCACATACATTCGAACCCGTAATTTGAACCCACGACAATTGCACCTGCATACTATTGCACCTATGGAAATTTGCAACTACCGATATTTGAACCCATACTAACGCTAACCCATGGATTTTATCATCCGCATATAGATTGGACCCTCGGATATGCGGTTGGAAATGTATGGGTTCAAATGTACGTGGGTTCAAATGTGCTGTCACTGGAGAAACGTATTAAAATGCAATAAAAAATAATTAGGTTGTTCAAAAGTGAGAATTCAAGTGTGATAATAATAAGCGCGTAACGTGCAAGGGGGAATGGTGAGCAAAACCCAAGCGCGTGATCGTTGCGTCTCCTTGTTCGGAAATGATAATTTTCTAAAGCGGAAACAACTTGTGTTTCAATATAGACGAAATTATTGGGGAACGAGAGTTGTGTACAGGGGAAATTCTTTACGTGAATAAAATTATACTTTGTTTATCATTATTTTATAGCAATATTCTTTATGAGTAGAAAGTGTTCATGTTTTGTGATAGGTTTGCTGCGAATATGTAAAGTGCTAAATAGTGTGCCGCGATATAAAAAAGTTTGGGGACCATTGCTCTACGCGGCGCACCAAAATCATTTCGCGCACGGTGGTTGGGAACCACTGCAGTAAGGTATTAACAGAAATCATTACCTTGTTGTTTACACGGTACTCTACGTCCAAACCTATCGAAGAATTGCAATAGCACATTGGTCACATCCATAAACACGACACTGAGCTTGTAGAGAGTTTGCACATCTAACACCGTTGCAACATATATCCACCGCAATGCGGATTTGGCGGAATATTAGGTGGACATTTACCTGTATAGTTAAGAATTGCAGTGTAAAAGGACAGAAATTTGAAAAAAAAATTAAAAAATGTACAAGAGTAAACACAATGTAAATTAGCAATATAATAGTTTTGTGGTGAGAATATTGGTGCACCCGAAATATGTGCACCAAGATAGCGCACAACCTTGAAAAAGTATGTGTACCAGGTTAGGGTTCAGGTTGTGTACCATCTTGGCAGAAAAGTCAGCGCGATAGAAAACACTTGAGTGACTGAATTAGAAGGAAATAAAATACACTTACATTGTCTTACAATGTCGTATCTGAGATTGTATGGATTGAAGAAATGTTCTCTACATCCATTACAACTTGTTTTGCAGATTGCATTGAGATACGTTGGGCAAACGGCTCTGACGCATGCGTTGTTATTACAGACTGGACATACAGGTGGAGGTGGAGGGCGAGGCCTTCTTTTTGAATTGGCAAGTAATCAGAAGAAGCGCGGTTTTTTTATCGAGTCTGAAAATTAAATATAACGTAAACGATAGTTTAAGATATTAGTTCACGTTTAAGTTCACGTTGAAAAATAAACACGTGATCACAAAATCCATCAACCTTTTGTGTTGACGTCACATTCAGAATACCCGCATTAATAGCGATTGCTTATGATTCGTTTGGATTTCCGTTTTCAAGAGTTATGTTATTTGGCTTGATGACTTGTTGTAGAGATAAATGCCCATTCGTCGGTATATATTTATATTATTCAAGACATTTAACTGCTCTTGCCTGTTTATATTTTAAAATGATTTGAGGTGATTTAGAAAGGGATCCGGCCCGCGACGCTTCACTAAATTATAGTAAAAAACAGCTATTTTGACGATTCTATTCTTTACTTAACAGAATTTATTGTGAGACACGTGTAGACTAAATTATATTATAACCCAACAAGTATATAATTCACAAGTACTTGTTTAATAAGTTTATAATTTAATTATATTTAGACAAATGGCAACAAAACGTAGACAAGTTAATGCTCAGTGCAGAGGGTTCAATGTTGTCAAAAATATTCAAATGAATTTTTTTGAGAGGCAATGAGGAATTAGATTCATATTCTATTCGAAAGATGTATTACTGCTTGATTTTTATTATAATCATCCGTTCGGTTTTCAACTTTCTAAAAATACGTGCTGCCCGCCAATGACTTGCAAACCTTAATTTTGGCCCGCGAGCGACAAAAGCCGACCCCAGATTTAAATTATTAACTATGTGAATAAATTACTAATATTCAGACACAAAAATTAGGGTATCCCATATGAGTCGTATGACAGCAAAGATTACTTATCTTATTTTGAGAAAAACTTCACTTACTAAGAAATGGCTTTTTCTTGTCGACTTTAACTTTATTGCATGTCAGTCCACATGAACTCTGACAACAAACTTCCCGATTCTTCACAGTCGACGTTTGTTCACAATTATCGACACAAGTTTGTTGGAGCAATCGCATCTTCACATTTAGGATCAAAGACTAAAAAACAAAAATTTTGTTAAAATAAACTGAAATAGTAAAAACATCAGCATGTGCAAAAAGCTAATTATTTTGTTACAATTCCAGCAATTACAATTTCTGCCGTTACAAGGTAACTAACTGCAGAGGAGTAGCTGACGTTGTCTTTTGCACGTTTGTTGATGTAGGAGGGAGTTACAGTAGGCAGTTTAACCAGTCCGCTTCTAAATGCTGTTTTACGCTTTTATCTTGAACGATATTTTAGGTAGATAGCTTTAGATAACTGGAGTGTAGCCAGAGTGAAACTAGGTTTTTAGCTGTCAAATTTAGCCTTCAACATGAAGTAATGGTAGGCTTATATTTTTACGTTTTCATCTCAGTAATATTAATTTCAAGATACCTCCTAAAAAGAAATTGAGATATGACGAATTTTATGTAAAGTTCGGGTTTATCGTGATAAACGCAGTGCAAAAAACAGGCTAATGCTATCGTTAACCATGGAGGTGCAAAAATCTTCACCGTGAAATGTGTTGCAGTGTATCTCACCAATGTGTTAGGCTGACCATTACGTGATTTGGCGCAGTCAGTGACGCTTTCTTTGTTGGCGTTTTTGCAGTTAGGATGAGGGGCAGCATTATCAGAAATTCGCCTTGAGAAGCAAAAAGTTTAGCACGTCATGGATATAATTCGTGTACTTTATCTGAAGGGGTATCAATGCATAAACGGACAAAGTATAATTTCATTTTGTCCGATCAGAAGAAACTGTATAGGTTGCAACATGAAAAAATAATACGCAGACACATGTGATACCAGCGGCATGACCAATTTTCTTGCTGCCCAGGTCGACTTTTAATATGATGCTCTTTTTACCTAACTTCAAAAATAATTCGAGAGATGAACAAATTATATAGATGTCGATATTTATGAGAATAAATAATTTAACGGTCAAGTAAGAGTAAAATTTTTGTTTTATTAATAATTACATCGTCAAACCAAGCATTATCTGCTGCCCGGGGTCGCTGCCTTTATGGCCTCTCCCCTATGCATGTCGTTGAGTCGCACTTACGTTTGCATTCTGGAACTGGACTTGACCATTGTTCATTAGCGAGGCATGTTGTTTCTTGTTCACCGTAAAGTGTCATAGGGAAGTTGCATTTAAAACTAAAAAAAATGAATAGAAACATTTAAGAGATGTTTTATATAAAACAAATTTGAATTTTTTTTAGGTGGCTATCCAAATACTAAGATATATTTATTCATTTTTGAGCGGTTTCAAAAGTGTAAACAAAATATATAAAAGACTGTTACCAATAAGTTATTGTAATCAATGGAATGTAAAAACAAGAGACCGCTCAAATATATGGACACGAAATGGTACAGGTATGCAATCGGTCACAGTAGCCTACCGTACCAGTGTCAAATATTCTTCGAGTGACGCGTAAAATCGGAAACAGTCGTCACGCTAGGCGGCTTGAAAACCGTGTCATTTAGCAAAATTTTGAATGGTATATCAGATAGCATAGGCAACTTAGGCATGAACAAAAATAATAGCGACCACAACAATCGTTAGTCACTGACAATTTCAAAGCAATTGGTCCAGTAGTGAATACTGAAAGCAATTTTTCATAAGGTAACGAAAAGAAGAAGAAAAAAAACGATCATGGGTTCATTTCGTGTTTAATATTCAATGTAATGCAGAAATAACGAAGAACTAACGAAAGACTCACGTGCATTTACTGGCATATCCCAATCCATCTGGACAACTGACAGTCCCGTCTCCCAAAGACAATCTTTGACAATAAACGTCTGAAAAACAAGTTCTATCAGTTATGTTATACCAAAACTTAAATAAGATTTTACAAATTGCGAAAACACAAATCAAAGTTATCCAAAAAATTTACGATAAAATATTTAACATACCGTATTTGCTCGTTTTGTAGCCCGGCCCATACTTTTTTCAACCAAATTCACTAAAAGGGCCCATTCAAACCGGCCCTTATTCAAGCACGGGCGCTTGTTATTTTCGATCGTTACAATAATTAATATATTGTTATTTTCAGTTCTCAAGTATGATTTAAACGAGAATAACGAAAATTTTGACTTTTTCCACGCACCGCAGGTACAAATCCGCAAAAAAATAAAAGTTTTGCGACGCCCAGTTTTTGAGAACCATGGTGTTACGTAATCAGGCGCGCAGCCAGGACTTTCAGAAGGGAGGGGTATCAAAATCGGAAATTCCGATTACCGTGTGTAACAGTCACGGCGATTACGTGTTCGTTAAAGGAGCCGCCTTTTCAGCGTATAATGATTTTTCTGTTGCTTAAATTATTTAATCCTTGACAACTACGAAATTCTAAAATGTCCTTATATATTAATTTAATTGTGTCCAACGTAACTAGCGGTTGCGACTTCTTACGTCAAAATAGAAAACGTTATTTCTCTAAAATACCACGGCGATCTGTGGACATAAAAATATGAGATAAGCTGCCTGATGTATTTAATTTTGATACTTATTTTTGCAATCTTGCGAACTCGTTATAGCCGATAGAAAAATCTTAATATTTGTTATAAAATCCGTATAGTACAATTTTACTTCATACAATGAAAATACATATAAAGTAGGTTGTTATATCAGTAAATCAAAAATACATATTCACTCGCCTTCACCGCCTCGAAATCCACGTCAAACAGTCGCCGCGAAAAATTCTTAATTCTGCTTTAAAATCTCACGGATAAATTTTATTTTAGTACAATCAATTTTGTTCAAATGTACTTTATAAATTAATTATCTTATGCATCATCACAAATCGGCAAAAGTCGCGTTCTCAACCTTGCTTAATGTAAACACGAACATTTTCGACGGCAATTTTAGTAAAAGTAATGGATAACAAGGTAAATCCCACTCAGAATTCACCGTGTTTCGATTCTAGTGACGATAAGTTCTAAACGCGGAACGAACATAATGTGTGCCGTAAGCAGACGAAATTTTGCGATTTTCGATGCCTAGAAAAGTTTTTTAACTGTCGAAGGCCTCAATCAAACAATTTAGGTCGTGGCTTTATTCATTAATTTGTCTTTAAAATCTCGCCGCCGATGAACGTATAATAAGTCTCACCGGATGCACGATTCCGTCAATTCCGTGCGAGTAACAAAATAAAATAATTGTCATCGTTATCGTGGTACAAATTTGTGATTTGGAGACAATAAACGTCAACGTAAAGGCGTTTACAGTCTAAATAACACGTCACAACGATGAAAACATTCGGCGATTTTAGCAAAAGGCAATCGTACGCGTTATCGGCGACTTTTTCAATTTTCAAAAAAAATTAAAAATTCAACAGAGTTGTGATAAGAGCGCATCTTAATTCCTATTGTTCTCTACCACTGAAAACTCAGCTTTTACATCGGGCGGGTATTCAAGCACCGGCCCTTATTTATTTTTATGTTCTGATCACACAGGCGGCTATTCAAACGGGCTCTTAATCAAGATCGGGCGGTAGAACGAGCATTTACGGTAAGCCTAATTATTACCCAAACATGTTGGTTGAATATCATTCCACATTTCATCTTCTTGACATGTTAATGTTTCTCTTCCCTTCAATCTGTAGCCATCAACACACGTGAAACTAAAGGCAACACAAATATTGCGTTTTAATAAAAAATAATATTTGAAGCATTTTAGAAAGGTCTTAATCACCATACTCATCACGTCTCGATTTGGTATGAATTTTTCGCTTAAATGCATAATCAGCACGGTCAATTAATCAAGTTTTATCTATTGCACAAAACAATCAATGTATAATCAATTTGATGTTATACCTGCAAGTACTCGGGTAACCGAAACCAGGTGGATTGCAATTTATTGATCCAGGCTGATTGCTGAACTCAAGATCGGGGCAAAGGATCCCTGAAAAAAAAATGTCGAAAATTAGCCAGTTCATATATAAATACACCTCTTGATAGGATTTTTTAACGGGTACATACTTAAAAATATCCAATCACTTACTTGAACATTCGAGAGGAGGATCACTCCACTGTCCATCGGCCATGCACTGTGATTGAGAATTCTTCTCTTTGTAACCCAAATTACATGTGACCCTGAAAGCATGTGATTTTTTGAAAAGGTAATTCCCTGTGTATCTTGAAGTAGTGCATTGTCACAATGCTCACGGCTGGTAACATTGTGACTTATTTTAGGAAGAATAAAGTTTTTACGTTTCTGCCTCAGAGCATATTATGCATTAACTTAACCGGCGCAAATACAGATGAGAGATAGGATTTGCAATGGTCGTCTGTTACCGTCGGAATATTAATTATAATTTTATTGGATTTAAAATCCTCGACTCAATAAATTAACTCCCTCTATATTAATTAATAAATTCTTTTCTTTGCTCCGATTGATTTTGTTTTATTCATAGCTTTAACTGAGCTCATGGGCCAGAAAAAAAATCTAAGATAGCATTCAACTTACGAGCATGTTTTTTGGTACGTTGTTCCATCACAAACGGAATCTCCATTTTCAATATTTGGATACGGTCCGCAGTCCACAGCTAAAAGAAATATTTAAATATAGTTTACACGCAAACAAATACAATATGGTTAATTAACGTTATTGTGTTTAATTGGATACTTACGTAGACACGACGATGGCATACTCCAGACCAATTTTTGTCCAACTCACAAGTCATTGTCAATCCTGACACGTCAGGCTCATAACCGCTTGGGCAAATAAAACTACAAAAATAATAATGACAATAGAATTATTTGAGCATAGACTGCAATGATAAATATTCAAACTTATTCGAATATTTTATTTTAGCTTATACTTTACTAGAAGGTTGCACTTTGATATAAAATTGAAAACAAAATTTTTGATATATGAATTATTGGTTGTGGAATATTTGGTTATCGTTGAATATTGAAGACTTCGAAACAATTCAGTTAACAAAAATAATAATATCTTTTTATAGTTGGAGTAAGAGAATTGCGTGGAGGTTTCTGATTCAAAAACATGTTTGAAAAGCAATAGTGGTTGAAAATATGTGTAAACGTGTAAACATATCAAAATCTTACCTGCATTTAGTATTATAATCAATTGCGTCGGGAGGATCGCAAACAACGGATCCATCAGGAAAGGTTAGCGGCTGACACGTTATGGCTGAATAAAAAGGACATAGTAAGGAGAAATATAATATTAATACGGAATAAATTTTAAGAGGCGTTTACTACATATTCGCCTCGAGCAAGCCTCTGTATCGGCGCAACTCAAACGTAATGAAATATTCGTTTTGAAAGAAGCATTAGCTTTTTGTTGGACATTGCCTATACAGTGCACCATACCCAAAAAAGTCATTTTACATAAAGTATGCAAATAGAAGTTGCCTTGAACATGACCTCGACTGTAACTCAATGGAATGCAAAAACTAACAATAAAACAAGTCAGTAAAATGGAGTAACAGAAACTTCGTTCCAAATGTAATTGATATGTCCTAATTTTTTTTCAAACACGATGTCCTCCCCAAACCATTTATAAGCCACTTACTCCCACACACTGGCGCAATTCCAGACCATTGTCCATCAGCTTGACAATTTCTCAACTGATTGCCTGATACAACAAATTCCCCTACAGGGCAGGTGAAGCTGAAACAAATTCGAAGTCAATAGTTCAAGTAGGCTAAAATTTTCAATTCCACTAACAATAAATAATGTAAAATATTCTCGAACTATAATTAAAGCATAACAACACTTCAATAGCCTTTGGCAATATTGCGATATATAGTATAAAAATGAACGTCATAAAATATTTACTTTAATCGTCTCAACTATTGTAGGAATTTAAACTTAAGCGCTCTTTGCCCGGTTGAAATACGATTAACAAGGTTTACTCAGAAAGAAATATGAAGCTTACAAGCAAGCTGTTCTGAAGTCCAAGCTATTTTCTGGCGCGCATTCGATAGTTCCTTCAAATGAAAGTTCGGAACATGAGATAACTAAAAAAAAATGTAATACATTTTTATGCAAATAATGAATTTTCATGACAGTACAAAAATTAAAACTATACCCAAGAAATCGTGATAACTATTTATACAAGAAACTAAACCTCTTTAAATTATAAAAATTCTATTGTTCTGGTGTAATTAACAACAAACAAATAATGTTTGCAAACTTACGATAAGAAATTGAATAAGCATGAGATTGAATGCGGGTAAATAAGTTCATTTACTTCTTTTTGAGATGAATAAATTATTGTCTTTGTCCTAAGTGTCGGTTTAGAACTTGTGAACAGTTTCTAATGTTTAAATTTTGTGATTCACCCCGAAAAGGTATATATTGAATAATTTATTTGTCTGTTGCCATTCATGCAGACGGGCGAATGAGTATAACAACTGTTTTTTAGAAATTTTTATATTACCTAATGGATAAAATATGTCATACTTTTGCATGATTGTCCACCGGTTCCTGACCAGTGTCCATTTTCTTGACAAGTTCGCTCCTCCTCGCCTTGTAATTCGTACCCCATGTAACATTCAAATCTAAATAATATTTAAGACATGCCTGGTAAGATTTTCAATGAATATACCATTATTGATTATCATTATTAAATATTATACAACATTTTTAAGATTATAACTTGATAATGAATATTTATATCTGTTGAACGAGAAGTCGTTGAAGGAAATCTAAAACGAGCATTGAGCTATATTTTCACATACCTGCATACTGTCGAAAACTCGAGGTCAATGCCAGTTACACAACCAGTTATCTTGCCATTGTAGTCTCCAAAAGACAGTGCGGAACAGGTCACCACTAAAAACAATTCGTTAAATTCAGCGAACATAAATAGATTGACCAGGATGATTTCCTTATTACTTAAAGAGATAGGGGATGGATGTCCTTATCTGCGTGTCCTTACTCCCGCGCTATTATACACACGTTAGCGGAGTAAAACCTCTCAACTAACTCCTTAGAAGTCAATAAGCACACAATATATTGTAATGTCAAGTTGAACGATCGAATTCAATCGAAACAGATGTATACTCTGTGAGTCTATGTAATATACACTTAAATCTTAATACCGGTTAAAATCAAATCAATCTCCAAGCAACACAAAACATGAAAAACACTAAATTCTCAACTCTCGGACGGAGGCGGAAACACGTCACGAATTAGTCGATACATAGAACAGTCGAAAACAAAGAACCATTGCTAGAACTTGTTGCGATAAATCATAGTCAGGGAATATAGGGAACTGACTTATTTTTTAAATTCACACACTATTTTTATACAAAGGGTGTAAAAGCATTAATGTCCATTTTTACAATCCACATTCGCTACAAATCTAATAAATATTTCATGCGTGCAATCAGTTATGGGAGTCAAAATATTAAGAGCATTTTTTCATTTTCTATCGAATAAACTAACAACATGTTTGCTCATTTCAGAAATGTAGGTATGCCACTGCGTATATACAGCATGACATGCCTTACATAAATCCAATATACAACTTTCGAGATGCCAAACATAATGCTAGTCGTTAAAACTGGGATCTCTTATTTTAACGACAATCCAAGAACGAAATCGCGACCGACAGGTCGAACTCGCCTTTTTCCCTGGCTAATCGATGCAAAATATGTTCAAGAAATTTTTTATAATACTAAAATAAATTGTACTCGCTGGGAATGTATCGCAAACTCTGGGATTTTTCTAAGGGTGATATCTTAAAAACAAACTTACGCAATATTCTCAAATTTTGACAAATAACTAAGTGGGCAAAATTAAGAATCAATTATAATTACAACCCGATAGTTTTTCACGTATGTGACCGCGGACTATTTCCGAATCAAAATGACTTAAGACGCGAAAATTAAATTAGGTTGATTTTAATCAAGATTTGTTTATGTGTCTGATGTTATCTTCGGGTTGCGGTACTTAGGTTTAATTAGGCAAGGACAATGTTGAGAAACCTGTTTCACACAAGTACTGGGTTCATATTTTTAATGTTAGCGGATGTACTATCATATATAGACAAACATTCGTGTTTATCAAACTCATTTCGGAACTTTCGCATATACCCATCCTTTCACATATAAAAAATTATCCCACCTTTGCACCATTGCCCATCTGTACCAGACCATTGCCCGTCATCCTGACACGTTCGCTCCTCATCGCCTTGTAATTCGTACCCTACGTCACATTCAAATCTAAATTTTCGAAATTGATTTATATATATTCGATAAAAAACACTTTCGTGATCGTATGATATGGTTTTCAATTTATACCAAAATGATTGACAGGAACTGAAGATTGAGAAATGTACGAGAAATGTAAAAACTCGTATCAATATTAAATATTACACAACATTTTTAAGATACATTTATGAGATTCTACGTTTCAATTTGAGGAAAATCTAAACAAGCATTGGGTTATATATTCACATACCTGCATACTGCCGAATACTCGGGGTCAATGTCAGTTGTACAGCCAGTTATCTTGCCATTGAAGTCTTCAAAAGACAATGCGGTGCAAGTCACCACTGAAAAGAATTTTTTATATTCAGCAAACTTAAATAGTTTAATCAGAATTAAATTCTTATTAATTAAAGAACTACTGTAATAAAACATTTATTGGTACAACCAGTTATGATAGTCAAAATAGTGAGAACATGTCTTCTTTTGTATATAACACACTAACAACAAGTTTACATTATTTCATAATATGTATATATAATTTTTTAATAATAGTAATATGATATAAACTTGCATCCGCGTTTACCAATAAATTCGATACACAGTATTTGTCAATATATATTTTTTGTAGGAACCTATGCCTATTTGATAGCAAGGGTACAAAATTGAGAAGTCCTACAAACCTTTCTCCCGTAGTAATACGAACATCGCCTAACATGTGCGCTGTTATTAATGTAATGAAACGCGAAAAATCGAATTAGACCAGGTCTAAAAAAATACTTGAGACAAATTATTGAAATTTCAATTTTTTTATTACTAGTCGATTTATTATAATATTGACATACATTCGTGTTCATTTCAGAATTTTCGCAGATAACCATCCACTTGCATATAAAAATTATCATACCTTTGCACCATTGCCCATCTGTACCAGACCATTTCCCATCACTCTGACAAGTTCGCTCCTCATCTCCTTGTAATCCATATCCTACGTTACATTCAAATCTAAATTTTCAAAAAATGATTATATCTTCGATAAAAATAATTTCGTGACTGTATAAAATATGGTTTTATATTTATTTCTAGTCAATAAGGTTATTCTGTAAGTAGTAGCTTTTGAATGGAAATTGTTTTAAATACATACCTACACGTCGTCGTAACACTGGCATCAATGCTGCTGTCACAATCAATTATATTTACTTGGGGGTCGTTGAATGACAATGCTGGACAAGTTACAGCTGAAATAAAATATTATGCCGGTTCAACAGGAGGATCGGAGTGGCTTTCATGACCTAAAAACTGAAAACGCAACGTTTGATCACAAATATTTTGGAATTGTGCTTTTTGTTCAATTATAATCATTACGATCGTAAGTGATATTAGTATTCTTCTCTTTATTATTTATGTTATTCTCTCTTCTGCTGGAGCAATTGTTTTGAAATATTCAGTGGTTGCAATTTTCTGAAGATATATTATAACATTTTCTGTAGTCTTCATAAAAATTGTTTTCACTTTCAAGGTTTTTTGTCTGATGACGTCATTAAAATAAATAATTAATCACCGTGTGCCGGTTTCGCGATCGTGTTTTAGTAATTTCGTGTTCAGCGATGTCGAGAGTTTTTGGATAAGGAAGGCCATCGGTGCTGTAAGTGATTTTGTCCTTCGTGGATAGATATTTGAGCTTTGTCCTTTTTGCACTTAGGTTACTGTTGATATGGAATAATTAGAGACTTTCTTAGGGAATCGGTTTTCCTTTGTATCTCTTACATAGTTACATTAGGAAGTTTTCATAGTCGAGGTGAAAACTCGAATATTATCTGAGAACAATTTTTTAAAATATTTTACCTTTGTGAGATACTTCACAAAGAAATGGATCTTCATAAGTGCACGCATAACTTATCATTTTTCCGCTACCTCTTCTTATATCTACACATCCCCCATCTTCGAATCTATCCCAGTTCGCGTAAGAAAAAACTGTTCCGTCAGACCATTTCCAATCACTTGTTGTTGTCTGAACTGAGAAAGTGGATGTAACAGTAAGTTCCAGGAGTTCATGCCATCATATGCTATCACCATAATATTTCAATAAATTAAAATAAGTTATGGCGTGGCAAGTTTTCTGAAGCCATCTTTTTATCCCAGCTTGAGATTTTGATCCAGAATATTAATTGATAATTTTTTGCCATCGTTTAAAAAGTAAATATAACAAAGCGACTTGCCCAACATATTTTTCAATGATGTTACCTGAATCAGTTGTAGACAATCCAATCCAATACAGTTTTATCGAAATCGTCAATAACGAATGAACAAAAGTGTTTTCTGCTGCTGACTCGATGCTGACAAGATGTCCACCAAAGGTCTTGCAATGATCTTCGGCGTTATGCCAGGTCTTAAGACTGAAGAAAATCAAGTAAAATAGAAAAATTTGAAATTATGGCAGATTTTTCGCAAACAGTGCTTATCTATTCACCTGTCACATATCATGTTAAAATGCTCTGTTGTGTTTGGAAAATCTTAAAATTTACAAATATAATATTTGTTTAACTACCACACAATAAATAATATTCAAAACTCCCAAAGATTTAGATTAATTTTTCACATCCTCAGAGAGTCGCATTTAACTTTAGTGATTTTTCCACCTGTCTCCCAACCTACAACAAATTTCCTTATGTGTCACTTAGTATATGGCAAGGGTGCTTTGGTCGACAATAACGAAATTATGGAGATCTTTTGTGCAAAGATCCCGTCAATGATGCAAAAAATGTAAGATTTGTTTAAGAAAAAAAAAAACGGTAATCATCTAGTTAAGTTTGGAAATGATTTGAAATTTTAGTGCTTTTGGGACTTTGTACAAAAGTTCCATATTTTGTACTGACATTACATTGAAAAGAAAAAAGTTCACAAACGGAGCCTACAATGTTTGCAATAACGTTATGTCATAAAGAAAAGTGGATCTACGCGGTTAACACGACTCGCCCCTGTAGCTGACTAGGGGCAAAAATAACTATAGCAAACGACTTACAACATATTCTGACCACTGAATGTAATAAGTTTGAATAAAGTTAAATCAAATTACCACGGCTTATTGCTGCCACGAATAGGTAAATATGCGATAAATAGCTTATTTGGAGTTTATGATGAAAGAATGGTATGGCTTAAAATGCGGCATGCAAGATTATCATGGGCCCGATACCTGGACAGACTTTTGTGCCGTGACACACTGCTTTAAGTTTATATCAAATCAGCAATGTTAAGGACTGAATTTTTAGCTATAGCAAAGGTATCGTGTGAAGCGGGGCTTGTAACGAATTTACAAATTAAAAAAGCTACCAGACTAATTACCTAGAATTGACGTGAACGCTGAAAACGTCCAAATAGGTTGATCATATACAATGCAGCAAATACACGGATGATATGAGAGTATTCTAAGACGAATCGAAAAAAAATATATATATTTTATATGACCCATTCATGTATTTATAATCGTACGCGCACTTTAACAAAGGTTTCACGGTGAAGTGAATATAGAAATATAAATAACAAAATAATACCCCTCAATACGTACGTATCAAACATTTGTAGCAACTTTCTTCATATAGTGACCACGTTGCGTCTATGCAAATTACTGGGCCTGGAGAAAACAAAATATAAATTGACAGATGAGAAACATGGGAGAAAATTAGATTAGAAAAAAGCTTTGTCAAATTTTAAAGAGGCTTAGTCAAAAATTTTCGTGTTAGATTCAATTTTTCGAAACTTCTGTTTCTGTTTATTTTTTTTTTATATAGAATTAAGTCTACTGAAATATTCTACATCACTCTTTAAGCAAATATTTGCCTGCATCGGCCACCGAAAAAGTTTAAGAATTTGCCTTCTTTGAGCCCTAGTTTAATATCAAAGTAGACAAAATGCTTATATCATAAATCAAATGTGTACCGAACGTTCTAAATCTGGCATAGGCAAACTAAGGCCCGCGGGCCAAACCCGGTCCGTTCGGTGAATCAATCTAGTCTGATGTTGCCATAAATTTCCACATACATTTGTGAACCCTCAGTCTGATGAATTTTAAGAAATCTAAGCACAGATCTGAATTGACCGATACTAATTTCAAGTCTGTTTTGAAAATTGCCAAAAGCAAACCAAAAAACAAATTTTGATGTTTTAACTAATAAAGAACTATATGAGATAGCCATCATAGACCGCCGACTTATCGATCTAGCGGCGCACATACACTCAGCACATGTGCGCTCTCGCCTCCAAAATCTAGGACTAGGTCATACACGTTCTCCCGCTTTGCTAAAATCTAGATCTCTTCATCACTAATTAATTATTAACTCGCTAATTATACCACATAATTCATCCAAAATCAATTGGCTCCTGGTTCGACGTATGATGAATGCACATGCAAAATTTGGAGAAAATTCAACCTCGCGTTCTTGAGTTATCGCGTGCATCCAACAAACAGGCGAATATCTATCAACATACTTACCGATCGAGATAGATATGTAATGAAATTGTGATTAAATTTAGTTTAGACACCAGGCCTATTGTTGTCCCCCTTTTCACCTCATACACACATGGCCGCCAGTCTTGCCCATCCCTGCTGTAAATGCATATGTATGAACTTACCCTGTGCAGAAAGCAAAATGAAATTCATTGAAGAAACGAACAGAAAAAAAACAAGTTTACAATCCTTCATGACTTTGAGATATTCCGACGAGCAAGGCAAATTGTAAAATATGTGAGAACAAATGCAGTGATTCATCTTTTAAGGACAATATCCTCAACAATTTACATTGCCCTCAGGTCACAGCAACCTCGTCCAAAGCACTGGATTGTATCTATTTAATTGGTGCTGCGTTGAAAATTCGGATATAATCAATTCTAACCAGAAATCAATTTATACATATTTTTTTAACAAAGCTTGCTATCAGCATCAGCGTAGTGATTAAGGTAAAACGTACATTCCCTCATAGACAGTTTTGTAAACGCCCGAAGGTGCCCACCAGTCAGTCACGCGGCTAGTAATTACAAATATTTGATACTTTTTTAGATACTGTATTGTATTCTTGTTCATAACATTTAACGGTATGCAGTTCTGAATGAAATTTGACAAAGCGGCCACGAAGAGCCCATTTCTATTCTAGGTCACATCCGTAATAATTCTCTATCAGAGCAATTTTTTTAATTCCACCTGAGCACATTTGACCTAACATTTGTGATAATGTAACCTCTGAGAAATGTCATTAATAAGACGTGGAGTTCATAATTTCCGTAATTCGAATTCAATTTAAACTTGCTTTTACTAATTCGATGTGGTGCTAACGGTATACACGCAGTATGGTACCTACTTCACAAGGGGCAGTTGCAATTTTTTTTACTTTTTGTTTGACTAGTATAATCGGGAAATTCTATTCAATTTTCAGAAACAAATGGTTACAATTAAACAAATGGTTTACAAGTTTTAATAAAACAACATCTTTAACACTGATAAATGAGCCTTTATTGGCGGCACTCCGGAAGTATTTGTAACAAGATGACGCACAACCTGAATAACCCCAACATAGTACACATACTATGTTCAGGTTGTGCGCCATTTTGGTACGAATTCTTTCCTCATTCTTGTACCAGATTCCAGAAACTTGGAGGGTTTACCTCGGTGCAAAAATATTAAAGTGCCCGGTGCTTTGAGAACCCGACACAACTAACGATTGTAGTTTACTAGATCACCAAATTTCAATCCTCATTTCCGTCTGTAAAATTAATAAACATCAATTTCTTTTATGAATTTTTGCGTCCGTCACGACTTTTTCAAAAAAAAAAAAAACATTGAAATGTTAAAACATGGTGGTCCAAACTACGGCCCGCCGACACACATGCCTTGCGGCCCGCAGAACAATTTTAGCGTACAATACTGAACCATTGCCAGATATTTGTATTTATTAGCAAAACAATTTTCATTTATTTTTGAACCATTCCAACTGAGAATAGTCCGTTTCCTAATCCCGATGTCTAGATTGATATTGGTTAAAATCACGGAATTTCATTGTTGTATCTATAAACGCCAAGAAGGTGCCTGTAGGGAAGTGTTTTTCAACCACTAGTGGTACGCGGAAGCTTTTCGGGTGGTACGCGAGCAGCCCTATTATTGCAACAATTAATATTTGAGTTGGCAAAAGTATGGCTACAACGCTTTATCTTCCATACCGTATTTATTCGCTGAACGGGTTTATAGCTATACTAGATTTTGTCCTGAGATCGCCCTCTACCGTTACTTCCAACCTAAAATGAAACGATAATTAAAACCTTTCATCTTTGACGGCAGACGAAGCAAATGTTCTCGCGATTATGCACGCAATTAATACGTTATTACTACATAAAATGAATACGTTGAAACTTTGCACAAAAATCTAAAATAGATGTAGTGCCATATTAAATACACCCATACTTCAAAGTTTGACACAAAATTTAATGTTAATTCTTTGCTCAGTCGTCATTCTTTAATTGAACCCCCTATCGCCAAAAAACTCAATCAGACCTCGCACAGCATTTTTTTCAACAATAAATTTATCACATTCACTTATGGATCCTGAAAAGCAAAAATAATTGCGATATTGTGTCAAAACAGCTGTTAAACAAAGAACACATATTACGCCACACTGCAAAAGTGTTGATTACCGATGGTTAATCGTGTTGTGTAATCTGTGACGTCAGTCCCGTGTACGAAGAGACATGCAAAACAACAAAATTAACGGACTTTGTTAACTTTATATTCATAACTATTATACATGTGTCCATCAGCCCTTTCACGAAGTATGTTGTTAATGCTGAATATATATGTTGCTCTTTATAACTAACAAGAGAGATTTGCTCACATATATGGACACGAAATCCATAACGAAATGTTTTACCATATCATACGGTTTTCGTGTCCCATGGTACTTACAAATGTGTGATGTCCCATCCCATCCCATGGGACGTTTCCCATGGCAAGCCTGGATATTCCTTTACCCGGAATAAATATGAAAACCCAGTTCACTAACGATCGCACCGTCCTCGATATTGCGCTTCGTCAGCATGCAATGCATTGCATTTCAATGCAATCGACAATTGCCCGATTGGTTCTCTGATCGTAGAATTGAGCTGGACATCCGGGACACAGAACTCTACAATGAGCTTCAAGATACTTTGGACAAGAAGCACCGAGGCATCCTCTGGTGCAAAGACCAATTGTGTTTATTCCAGGCTGACAAGTTGCTGAAACAAAGATTTTATGTAAAATGAGATTAAAAACGACACACTTTCTAAAGTTCATCATTCAATTTATAAGTGCAATTTAGATGACTTTGGAACGCCATTCTGCAGTCAGATCCAAAATAATATAAGTGATTTTTTTAATTTTGCCACGTACAATCCTATTTATTCATGAGACAATTATTTACATGTATCCCAATAAATCGTCGAAAAGGGCAAAGTTGGTGTGTAAAACATAAATCTTATACAGTAAGGACTGGTGTTGTGAGGCTCACGAAACGGTTGACTATTATTTGCGGATCCCCACAATGAATTTATAACAGTAATGACAAAAAACATAAAACGATTAATGCTCCTGTTTAAATTAAAATTACCCTATTTATTGACTATGGTGTATTTGCTGCTTGTGAAATTCATCATTGCCTTTATTGCTTTTTGGACAGTTTCAAAATCAGTTAAGGGTATTTTTACACTCATGCTGTTCCAAATATGATTCTCTTCCTCATTTTAGATAATGTACTACAAAAGAAAACGGCAATGTTCCACCAATCCGACCTAACGCAGGCTCTGATCCCTGCTGCTATCAGTGCTATAAAATGGATTAAACAAGAAGTCTTGAAGCGTAAAGGTATATGAGAATCATAATAGTTGCAAACAGCTTAGATGGGCTATTCATATTGAAATACTTCAGCACTTTTCTGCAATTGGAACTGCCTATCAAACTCATGTTGGAGACTTCATTGAGGTTTTCAATTCATTTTTTTCTCAACTATGAAGATCTTTTGAGGTTAACGAGGCATTAATAAATAAAGCTGAGGAATTTGTTTGTTCACTGTATGAAGAGGATATGAAGAATGTAAATGATACCAGGGCACGTCTATTTAACACTGGCAAACATAAGGATTATACTCTCCACCCAACAATGATCCACTGAAGAAGCATGTGGCCCTCAAATCAGTTCTTGAGTTGGCAAACTGCAAGTGTAAGAAAAATAGTCAAAATAATTTATGCAAGTGTGCCAAAATCAACCTAAATTGCACAGATTTTTGTTTTTGTATTGACTGCAAAAATCACAGTACACTTATAGAGAAAAAGTCGATTTTCGAGATAGTGGATTCCGAAAGCTATTCAGAAGAAAGTGAATTAGATATTGCAGTTGATTTAATAAGTATCATTTATTTTTTTTCGGACATTTGTTAGTGTCGTAGTCCTGTTTCTAGAAATAATATTGCCTTTGTTCAAATACATAACCGCATAAACTAAAAAAGACTAATTGTAATATTTCTGTTCACTATGTTATGTACATATTGTACATTCATTTAATTTTCTTGACTTTTCCGGTAAATTTCTAAGTGAGAAATAACTGATTTATTTGTGTTTTCGTGCTCACGATGTTAATTTGTGACTTCATTGCTTAAAAATAAATACGTTTGATAGCTTCAATAAAATGGATGAAGCTTTTTATGCTGTTCTTGTTGTTAAATGCTTGTGGTTATTACATAAAATTTATTCGCTAATGTGAATCAGCGATGTTGGTGTCGCTGCTTTCGAAGTCACTCGCGACTCCTGTTACACAATTAAAGTATTTTTTGTTGTTGGTTACATGTATGCCATATTTTTCGTAATCTACCTAATAAATTGTGATTGACTGAGGAAGTCCGATTTTGGTCAGGCAAAACATTACAGGAATACATTTGTGTTAGTGTGCTGTAGGGCTCTCGAATTGCATAGTTCTTATGTATGTGTTGTAAACTTATGGTTATTGAATTTCCTCTTATATTCAATTTCGCATCAGGATTGTGGAACAAGCTGTAATGCATTCAGTATGTTCATTTTCACAAAAAACTGAGAAATTTATTTAGTTACCAGATGTGCGCTACGAAACTCATTTTCTGGGCGTTTTCATGGCTTCGTCTCACGGCCCAAATCAGAATAACGATAAAGGAAATCACCACTTTTTCTTGAATACAGAAAATATTGAATTTTTTGTTAGAAAGTCCCCGCTCTAGCTTATTGCTGGGAAAAATTGGTATTTGGCGATAAATGTCGTGTTTGGAGCTTATGATCAGCGGTTTGGCGTGGGGCTTTTTTTCTCAAATCTCACATTTTTGCATTAGGTATGCGCGGGCTTTCTACGCAATATTCAAAATATTATCTAGTTCATTGACAGCAATTACTTCTAGCTCATTGCTGGCAGGCATAAGCTTTTGGAGGGAAATGGCGTTTTGGGAGTTTTTGACCAGCTGTTGGTAAGGGTTTAAAATGCAACGTGCAAGATTAACATAAGACAGATTCCTGTTAACCTATATGACGCGATCACAAAGCTTTAAAATGAGATCGGTCCACAATATATGATATTGATTCCAGGTTATGACTTCGTCCTAGACCTAGATTATTATTTGAATGCCCCCAGGCACCATCCCAAGGTGCCAATGCAAGCCAGTATGACAAAAGTTGTTATTTTGGATCATGCCTGTAATTGTAACTTCTCGGTGACTTTGTGCCTCTCTGATTTGCGATCAGGTAATTATAAATCATTGCTTTATCTGAGCGAGAGAAAACGTCACAGAAATAGAAAAACGTTCGCGCGGGTTTCAGAATTCGAGTATTTATATGAACTTAGAAT